ACTCGAACAAGTATCAGCATCGCGACACGGACGCGACGCAACGCGCCGCTGGCAGCTCATTAAGCCGCGTAATGAGGTCGTCCCTACAGTTAATTATTTCGGAGACGGTTTTCGGGCTTTCGCTCCTCTTCTCTTTCTATCGTGAGACATCGTTTCGTCCCACCCACCGGAGAACGAGGGCGTAAAACGATTCTACGAACCATTCCGGCTCGCGATTGACGACACTCTAAATCACCCTCGCGGGAGAGTCATTTCGTTCATTTCCGGTATCGAACGGATGCATAAAAGCTAAAACAACTCTGACTTTCAATCGTAACAGAATTGGAAATTCGCCGGGCACAATGTATAGCGTCGATAAATCAAGTAAACGTCACCTAAAGCTGCATGCGCACGCAATAAAAATCTAAGAAAGAAAAACATCTTGTGTAATTCAATTCTTCAGTTAGGATGATATGCACGGATAACCATCATTTTTCTCTTGCTAAATTAAATAACTTTAGTTCATTTTTTTTCTCATTGTCAGTTTTAAAACCAATCGTTTCAATAAAAGTATATCAAATATGTGCGACATCCTGTCGCGGACACGTGCATCTTATTTACCCAGGATTCGAAGCGAGACCGAAAGTATCCTGGCGCCTCTCTCGATGATTTACACGTAAAGGGCGGGCGTTATGGACGCGGAAGGGTGTTGCCAGCAGCAGCGGAGGATGAGATTACAGATGCGGCTTCTCGATGGAGAGAAAAGCGGCTGGCTGCGGCGCAACTTCCTTATTATTCCGTGGTCGGATAAATTGCTGTTTGCTTCTTTTGCGGGATGTTTGCTCAGATTAAAACGGATTATATCAATGTGACGATGGAATAAGAAGCAACATCACGTCCCCGACATGTGGCCAGTTTGTTGTTGGTCTATAATAGAAGAAAACATGACAAAAGTTGAGATAAAAATGGAGCTCGGCAGATGTTACGTAAAATTTATAAAGTAAAATGAGACAACAAAAAGTAAATATATTAATATTAATATATAAATATAATTCTATTTTAAAGATTATATTAAAAATATAATCTTAAAAATATAGAATATGTACGATCGTGACATTTTCAGGTTTTATGAATCTGTCTAGAAATTGTCAGACTATATATATGTTTTAAATTTAGTTTAGAAAAATTATAAAAAATTACAGACACAAAGTTGCACAATTTGTTAATAAAGCCCGATATAAAAAAAGCAAGTACATTATAATATAATAGCCGTGATATAAAAGGCAAAAGTCTAATTTAAACACAAAAGAGTTAACCAAAGATTAATATACACACGATCGCATATACAACCGCGAGACTCTGAAAGAGTTAATATAAACATATACAGCTACTATATAACGCGGAGAAAGAGAAAATTTACCGTACCCCGATTTATCTGCGGTGCGTAAGAAGGAATAAACACGACATCGGCAAGAAGACGCGTGTTCGGTTCACAGGATATGTCCTTCCTCCCGAGCGCACTTGGACAACGAAGCAATTCAACGCGCAAGATTTCCAACAGTTTACCGAAATGGTAAACTGCGCGCCACGATAAGAGAATGCTTGCTGTTTCTTTATTTGAACTCTCTCTCTCGAAACGAGTTAAAGTAATTTATCTCATTCTTTTGTCTCTTTGATACGCAAAATCTAATGATTCGTATTTTATCCAATATCTTAGTTGATTATTAATAGATATGTGATCGCTTCTTTATTGCAAAGAGAGAGAGAGAGAGAGAGAGAGAAAGAGCGGCAGAGAAAATCGTGTTTTCTCTCATTCTCCGTTTATTTACAATTTCTATATTATTGTGATATAGGACTCATCTACATTATTATTTTAAGATTACTGCGCTACATAAAATTTTTGCTTACAATGATACATAATGATCATTATGAAATAAATTCTACAGAATCAATGGTTTTAATTGGACGTTGTATCTTTTTTCATCTCTTAATTTCCAACATATTTTTTATTTTTTTACTTTTGTTTATCTCCTAAACTTATAATTCAAAATATCTGTGCACTAAACTCGAAAACTATAAATATCTTAATATCGAGACAAACAATACCTGTTTTATCTATAGTTTTCCACAATAGAATATTAATTATTTGAAATACATATTTTATGCATTTTTTTAAATGTGAAATATATATAAATGAGTAAAGCTGGATGTTGACAAAGGATTGAACGGATGTTGGATAAATCTTCAATGAAACAATTTTGAAACATTTTCTCAGATAAGTAAACTATATTCCACACGCTTATGTGCTTAGCAATAATAATAACATGTTATATTTACATTTTGTCACAACTATGTTATAATTACAATATCTACCACATGTTTATACATTTGATGGTAGAATATATATAAGCATACATTGTAATTATTTTATCACTGTTGGAAGATTAAACAATAAAATTCAAGATTGTGGCTCGTAGAAATAAATGACACACACAAACCGATAAATATACAAAAATTAATTATGGTTTTACTTTGAATACAGTTAAATTATAATTTAACATTTATCCAAAGGTTACGAAAAATTCTATTCCTTCTTTCTCAATATTATATAAATAATAATTATGGAAGAGCG